GGTGCTCAGAGGAGATGGTGCCGTTCGTACCCTCCCGCCCCGGTTCGCCCCAGGGAGAAAGGCCGGCGGGCTGGTTTTCATATGTATGCTTTTTAATATCATTAATTCTGTTACACTACACACAACCAGTAACAATGACAAATACTGCAATGGAAATGTTAAAAAAAATATTATACATGTTTCATGTTTTTGAAAAAAACCCCACATTTTTAAATAAATTAATGCATAAGACTGATGGTAGAAAAAAGAGAACCCAAAACAAACCACAACACAACTGATCTGTTTAAGGCCATACTCTACGCAGACGGGAACAGAAGTACAACAGTGTGCTACATGTTCTGAACGGGAAAACAAGAAAGAAAAGAAAACCCACACAAGATGCAGATTGATGCTTCGGGAGTGAAAAAACTCCCAAAGCCAGATAATAAAACCAACGGCCAAGTTAAGTGCAGCATTAATACACTCTGCATGTCAAATGATTAGCAGGTTCCTAACATGGACTAAGGTCAAGCTACAACAAATTTGTCTTCCTAATTAAAAGGTTATTCAGGTCAAACCCTACATTTAACTCTACTTTGCATTTGGCTGTTTCAGCTATGTTTAACTATACGCAAGGACAGCCGGAAATTCATCTCCTGCTCTTGAGATTAACGCAAAGGTCGGGAGGGCTCTCCTCCTGAAAGATATTTCCATTAAACACATCCAAAAAAGGATCTCGCTTTTGGTGATCCTGAAATGCCTCCTGCCAGCCCCTCCCCTGAGGTGCCAGGCACGACACAGGGAAAGGAGACATGGGAAGCATTTGCTTGGGTTGAGTTTTTTCCAAGCTGAGGACACGAAATGGAAGTGCAGATCTGATCCAGACTCGGAAGAGTGCTGTTTCCCTGTCTGCCAGAAATGTCTATCTGGAGCCTGCTGAAAGCACTCTGCCAGCATGGGAGAAACCCAGCCTGCACCCAGGCTCTGGATACAGCCGCGACGTTTGCTGTTAAAGTTGGTGCGAAGCTCCATACCTGCCCAGACAGCCAATGAACCCCAATTATTAATGCAGCCCAGAACTTGGCCACTGGAAGGCGGACGATAATCATAATGCCAAAAAACATCCCCCTCTCCCTCCAAAAACAAAAGAAAAGGGACAGTAGGGACTTTCTGCCAGCTTCCCCCAGTGGATCCCCATCAGCTGCCACCTACGCAAGATCGTCAGCGCCAGATTTCACCAGCATCGACCCAGTATATTCCCAGTAAGGTGCCTGTCTGCAAGGGGCAAAGAAGCTTCTTGGGACATGGTCAGAGCCTCCTGTACTGCCCTGCTAGAGTGCGTGCGGAGGAAGCTACGGTACACGAGGAAAGAAACCCAAGCAGAGCTGCTAGACTTGTGACGGCCAACGACTGTCCGGGCTGCCTTGGGTTCGGGTGGGAGGGGCGGACGCAGAACTGGGCTGAGAGTCACTTTGGTGCAACTGCCTCTGACGCTCATCACTAGTGCGTGGGGCGGGTGGGAGGAAAGGCAAGGCTGCTTTGAGAAAGAGGAGTGGAAGGAGGACGTGTGCAACATAACAAGGCTTGCAATTCTAGGACTAACCACTGGACACGGATACCGAAGATTACCTGTGACAATTAGCTATCCTTCTACCGTCGCTGCTCCCTCCCTCACCTTCTGGTCTGACCTTCTTCAGTTTGGGAAGCCGTGGCTGCTTGGCACGATGGCCAGCGCTGACCCTCCCACCCCAGTCCCTGCACAGCGCCTGGGGTGACTCAGCTACAGGATGTGCAGTGAGGTCTGGAAGTTGCATACTGGGCACAGACCAGCTCTGCATGCAAGTAGCGCCTGCCCTCAGACCCTTCAGGAAGCCATTTAACGGTGGCTCATTTCCTTTATTAAACTGAAGGTTCAGAGACCTCTGTGGAAGGAGTAAAAATGGTTAAAAACATGCAAAAAGGGGGAAAAAAAGAAAAAATACTTTCTGAATTTCATCCCCTGCAAAGACTTCATCCTCTGCAGGAACCTTTCTTGGTGCAGAACGACAGCCCTGTCTCAGAGCAGCAGGCCCGGCGCCGCGAGGGCGCAGCTGACAGGCATCCCACCCGCGCCCGTGCCCAGCCCCACAACCTTCAGGTGGGTGAAAACCCCAGCCTGCTCACCCACCGTCACGTTGGTTGGATCTCCCACGCTCTGACGTTTGCCTCGTGTCTGCCTCAGGACAGAGGCAGCTACAAGCCGAACACAGCTGCCACCGCTGCTTTTCCATGCAAAGAAACTGAGCAGAGAAATCTGTGAGCTGAGGACGGAGATGAAGGTGATAAAAAACAGAAACGCTGTTGCAAAGAGAGCTTGTCCCAAGTTTTCCAGCTCTCTTCATGCATCTGTATTACATCTCCCAACATAACTGGAGTCTCCCAAATCATGCATCACCCTCCTTGAGGAAGGTCGGTAACAAACGGAGTAGCAGCTTTTTTGGGGTGCTGAAACAAGAAGGCAGCCTGGGTGGAGAGCAGTGCTTCCAAGGGAGCTCACCTGGGGCAGCTGGACAGGCAGCTAGGGGAGAAATGCTGCTCTGGGACAGAAAACATCTCAGCAGGTAATGAGACTTATCTCAGCCTGGCCTTTCGGTGGCCTTTTCTTTCCTGGGTGCCTGCTGTGCTTGTTTCCAGTGACACGTCTGAGATGGTCACATTTTAATGAGGCTTCTTTTGTACCTTCCACTCCCTGATGCAATCCCACCGCCTGTATCACCATTTGTTACTATGCAAATGGCTCCACAGACCAGGCAGAACCAGGGAGGCAGGCTCCTTCCAGGAGCAAACCCATCTTTTGCTGGAGCAGCTTTTTAGAGACAGAGAAAGGGTTCGGAATCATCACCAGTCACAAGCGGGGCTGGGAAGCAACGGGAAGAGCCGCCCTCCACAGGCACCAGGGAAAGCTGCCACCCGTCCTGCCAGCGTCCGTGCTGCTCTGTGTCACGGCTTGCCGCCTGGTTGTGTGGGCCACGGTGCTCTGCTCCACGTAGTCTCAGTTAGTCCCCAGCCTTTGCCTCCCCAGCAAGCTGTCAAAGCAGCGCTCAGTCAGGCAGCGTTTAGCTGCTGTGACCCTGGGATTGCCACCAACGTCAAGGAGGTCAAAGAAGGGGATGTAGCTGTAATTTTTCGGAAGCAACACATGCACACTATAGAGAGTTAAAACCACCGGATGCCAGCCCCTGTGAGAAACCTGCATTAATCTTCTTAGGTAATCCCAGGTCACAACTTCTGTGCTAAACTGCTGGCCCTTCTGCTTCAGCGTTTGTGTGGCTTTGTAACAGAGGCAGGTTTGTCTGAGGAGATGTGGTTCAAGGTTTGGGGCAATTCCTCTCACAGGAAAGCCATGAAAGGAAGTGACAACAATGCAATGTTCCGCTAGAGGTGAAAATCACCTTAAAATGAAGACCTTCCCGTGCCCTCCCCTTAGGCTTAACCTTGCCCAGCTTGCCCTGTGGCACTGCCTGTCGATGCAGATGTTTCTCTGGAACATGCAGCCTGTGCTTGCTGAGTCAAGCAGCAGCCAGGTGACAAAGCCTGCTTCATTCTAGCTAAGAGCGGCCATACCGCACGTGAGCTCAGAGGGAGAATGGAAAAGTAAAGGAAAAGCCCAGGCAAAACTACCAGTTTATACCCTCAGATGATTACATGGATGCTAAAAGTAAGAGCATGAAACTGCTGTGAGAATATCCCAAATGAGCCCTTCAGTGCTCTCTTTCCTCCCATCAGCATTCCCTAGTCCAGTTGCGCTCCTAAGTTCTTTAATTCTACTAGCAGAGGATGGTGCTGTTGGGCCACCAAATCTTCTCACATGTTCCCTGTGGCAGCATGCAGATGGAGCAGCCAGCTGCACTAGAGCCAGCTGCCAAATAACTGTGAAACACATACTTGCCAAACATCTTCCCCCAAAGCTGTTTAACCTCTCTACTAACCTCCACCCTGCAGCCTGCTGGCACGTGCAAGCAACATCAGAAGCTGGTAAACAGTGGGAAAGCAGAGCAGTACTTTGAAAATACACAAAAAATTTCTATAGCATGCTTATTGCATCTTGCTTGCAGAGCTATCGTATCAATGGTGCCCGTCACACACTTGACAACATCCATGCAGGGTGGTGGTAGCATCTTGGAAAGGCAGGTTTCTCCCCTGTGCTGCAAAAGGCAACGGACATCAAGAGGGGATGTGACTTGGCTGAGGTACATCAAGAGGGGATGTGACTTGCCTGAGGTTAGAGCAAATGTGTACCATGTGCCAGCAGCAGCAAGGGACCCCAGGTCTTATTTCTGTGCTCTCACAGTCCAGCAGACTCTCTGCAGTAGTATTTGGCTGTGGTGCCAGCTCGGGGACATGGTGTTTCTGGTGTGTGCATCTGAAAGCGAGCTTTGCTCCCTGCTGGTATCAGCACTGCACTGAGACAGATTAACTGGGACAACCGGGATCTGCCCTAGGCCAAGACAGCACTTGGCAACCTTTCTATTCACTGCCTGTTTTCCTTTTCCTGTTGTTCCATCTGGTGCCCAGCTGGGTCCTTCCTTTCTTCAAACACAACTTCATGTTTCTGTTGAGCCACATACAGGGCACTGCACTTTTGAAGCCTCCTGCATGCCGCTGTACAGCTTGCAGGCCAGCCTGAGGACAGACTCTGCACAGAGAGGAATGGATTCTGCTCAGGACTGCAGACCAATGTGTCAGCCAGCACACAGCTGAGCAGAGCAGGTGCCTCTTTCTGTGAAAGGAGCTAGAGAGACAAACCAGAAGCAGCTGAGTCCATCCTGTCCATGGGAGAGCATCCCGAAGTCCCTTTCAAAGTCCACGCAGCGGGCCTGGTCGCCTGCTTTTGCAGTCACAAGGCATCTGCAGAAAAGACAGGCAGAACAGCAAAGCAGACCCAATGGCCAAGCCTACATGTTGAGGGTAGACATGCAGCAGCGTCAGACGTGATCCAGTGGCTCTTCCAAGGGTTGGCTTCAAGATATGTCCGACAAGACATCAAACGAGCTGGTCGCCTGGACATCAGCCTCCTTTTACGCAAAGTTCATTTACAGCCACCACAAAAGCACACCATTCTATCTAAAGACCTTCCTCAGCACTAAGAGGATGTTCCTCCTCACACAGTCATTTGGAAATGGGGAATTTGCAGACCGAAGAGACAGAGTTGAGTGCTGAGACTAGAGTTCAAAGCCAGCTCACATTAAAGGGCAAAATTAACACTGATAAAAGGGAAGGACTTGCTTAAACTCACGTAATTTGGTGACTGAAATGACACAAAATCCTAACAAAAAGCCAGTCTGGCTTTAGGACCCATCAAATGCAAATACCTTTGTGGAGTCACCAGCATCAATACCCTTAAAACCTATTTGCATGGTAATTCAGATGGACAGTGATGCAGCCTTTCATACTCCATTGTGCTCCTCCCGTTGGTATTCTGTACAACTTTGGACTGAAAATGGGGCCTGAGAAGATGATCTAGTTTGGTGCAAAGACTGGAACGAGGAACAATTTGCTTTCTTGCATGCAATATGCATTTAGAAGAGTGCCCAGCAGCTCTGCAGATTTTAGGGCTTTATAATGCTGTGACAGTGTCAGGGTCCATGCTTTTTGCTTTTTGCCTTCTTCAGGCTGTGGTGGCAGAGACTGGTCTGGGGAGAGCAGTGCCAGAACGGCCATGTATCTGTACACCTTCCCCAGAAGTCACCACAGCGTAACCTCCAGCGAGGGCGCAAGAAAAACCTTCTGGCTGAAGCAAAGGTCTGAACATGAGACCAGACGGGGAGCCAGCCCAACGTGCGATTAATGCATACTGACGGGCTGTCCACCATATTTCGTAATGAGCCAACAAACATGCCACAAGGCCATAACCTGCTTACGCGGCTGTGCTTCAGAAGGGTTAGTGTTCAATTTTCCATGATAGCCACACGTGCATTGCCTTAATCCATTCAGCCTTCCTGATAATGACCCTAAACAGGTAGCTACTTTCCCCCACCCTTTCTACTTTATCCCCCTAATAAAATATATGAACACAAAGCATAGAGAGGAGAAGCCAAAAAATTGCCATTTTATGGTCCTGTACTGTCATGCCAAACCAGCTATTTGTGCAACCAACTCCTTCTGTGTGCAGGGAAAAACAGTTGGCTTGTGCTCGGGTCTGTATTTGGAGGAAGCGCTGGGTGTGACATTTAAATTTATCTCCCTCCCTCCCGAAAGGGTTCTGCTAGAAGCAGACGCACACCACACAATGCAAAAGGCTGAGAGCAGTTGCAGGGCAGCGGAATGCCTCAGGGCTCAGGGCAAGCAAAAACCAGCAACAGAGGTCATACAAGGACTTGGTCGTGGTGCCATGGAGCCGTGGTTATCAGGGAAGGTCTGTCCTTCGGAGGGGAGGCGTTAATCCTGGGAGATACAGTGTCAGCAAGCCTCATTCTGTCTTAGACCGAACATGTTGGCAGCATGATGGAGACCCGTGGGGCCTGCAGTCCTCCCTGGCTGACCCGTGTAAACTGACAGCTGGTTGCTCTAGCAGGTACACTGAAATGCTCCGAGCTCCTGAGCAAGGGCTGTGGGAAAGGCTGAGTGTGTGCAGCCCAGCTGGAAGGCACAGAGGCTGACCCAGGAGGATAAAATGCAATCAAGATGCTGCATGGTACCAATGCTGACCTGAAAAGTCCCTCTTTAGAAGAGTCAAGATTTAAAGCGACTTGGTCATGTCCTGTAGGATTTGGTTTGACTATGGTCTTTCTGACTACATTCCCCACTAAAAAAGAAGACTTCTTAAGGGAATGTTTTTACCCTTCTGTCCTTCCTCTCTACAGGGTGTTGTTAGAGCTCTTCCCCCACCTCCAGACAACTCGCTAACCTCAACCTGAGCTAGCACTGGAGTCGAAAGCAGACACACGAAGGTAGAAGTGACTAATTGGAGACCTGATTTGTTGTGCTTCTTTATGAACATTTTGGAAATATGCCCCCTCAGCATTACCAGGTGGAGAGAAAGGGAGAGGAATTCACTTGAGGAACACTCTTCCTAGAGGAGCCGGCAAGTTAACCAGCACTTCTGCACGAGGAGGCAGGGATGCTCAGTAAGCAGCACCACTCTGTCCTCTTCCTGTGGCCTGGAGCCAGGGTGCCAGTGCGCAGTTTTAGAGAGGGGGGGCAAACACAGCTTTCACAGTTAGTGAATAATAAAGCCCAGGAATCTTGTGTGCCTGCTCTTTTGCTCATGCTGTGGATGGTATCGTGCTTTTCACTACACAGAATTAAACACAGAATATTAAATAAATCTCCTCCTAATCATCAAGAGGACTTCTTAAAGACTCAGCTCCCTTTACGAACATTTCAGAGGGGGGATCTGTCTGTCAGGGCAGAGCTCAGGCTCTGCCTTGTGACTCAGGAATTCTGATGGGAAGCTCGAAATTGTCCTCCCTTTTTCCCTTCCCCAGGGTATAAAGCAAGTGATGACCCAAGGCAGGCCATCCTTCCTCCTGGCAGGGCAGCTAAACACACAGTCGTGCCTATGGCAAAAGATTTCAACACTGAGAAAAACACCAGCCCATCCCTGCCTTAGCCCTGCATATGCTGCAGCCAGCAGTGCATGACTGGCCAGGGAGAGGACATGTTTCCTAATTCCAGAAATTATTTTGCATTCAAAACAATGTGCTGGTGAACTGGCAATTCAGTCCAGCAACCTAAGGTAACGCCAGGTTTCCTGACTATTCCAGCACCAAATAAACACAATTGCTCCTGCCGTGGGACAGCTCTAACACAGACCAAGCCTGGTTCACAAGTGGGCAGATATGGGATAAACAGTAGTTTCCTCTCCTGGTTTTTTTTCAGCCAAAGCTGTTCATAATCCTGCTGTTGCTGAAAACTCCCCTAAAGTCTGTCACCACTACAAACATTCCTTCAGGGTTAACAAATCCCTCCCAGAGGCACCAAGAGACGCGGTGTCTAGAGAACATCAACAGTTGAGCGCTGTAAAAATGTGCTTTCTTCAACTAACTTTTCCAGCACTGACCTTCAGACTTTACAGCTCTAGTCCTGCCTTGTGCAGGTCTCATTTTTTCTTAGTTGAACAAAGTTTAGGATTTTTGGAAGCAGATGAGTCTCACAGGAGTTAAGTATAGGCTGAAGTCAGTATACGTGACTGGACTGAACTCAGGAGTATGGCAATCTTGGGAAAGGACTGAACCCCTGAAGGGCACGGATGGATTGCAGATTGAATCTGATGTATTTGGTGATAATTTAATGTGGAGCTAAGGGTAGATTGCATTGGATATGTGACAAGACAGCTCCAGCTAGTATTGAGTCACAGTGAAATGCCACCTATTTGTCCCCTTCGCAAGTGAATGAATTGTGTCATGCTAGTCCTGGCTAGCCTTGCCATAAGAAAGGATGCCCTGCCATGCTCCTATTCCTGTGCCCCAGTTACAGAATCATTTTGGTTATGCAAATGAAACAGGCTTAGTGAATTAATTAAGAACTGACCTCCTCTTGCTGGTAAGAACCCCTGACACCTCAGACTCACCCTTGATCATGTAGATTGGTTTCGGTGGGCAGGATTACCTGCAGCCCCACCTGACGCTTCCCATTTTGGAACAGACACCTTACAAAATATCCCCAGTCCCTACACAAATCAAGGAGGTATCTCTGGAGCACTCTGCATTTGCTCTCCAGACCAGTCAGTTCCGCCAGGGACTGCCTGGCACTTTGAGCAACTTCTCTTTTGTTTAACCATAGTTTACAATAACTTATCAACCAATCATAAAATGAATTTTTTGGTTTCTCCTGGCTCCATGAACACAAAGAGGTGCACGTCCTACCATAGGAGGAAGCAATGGCTGTTAAGTTTTACAGTTATAGTGGAAAGCACTGATCACAGCCTGCCAGCCTCACTACTGGATGTGACAGGCGGTGGAGGAGGTGGCTTGGCAACACATGCAGGTAGGGTTGACCGATTTAGGGGGGATTAGGTCGAGGTCCTCATCATCTGGGATCTCATCTAATCGGTAGCCATCCTTTAGCAGCTGGATGTTCAAGTCTTGGTTGATCTGCTACAGACAAAGAGACAAAGTCAAACACTTGAGACTTCTTACTTCTGACGGTTAGAAGATGAAGGAGTTCCCTTATTCTGCAATATATTTCCCCATCCTCAGCAGCTGCCCCAGCAATAAAAGAGTCCCAGTTTTTGACCACAGGTGAGGGCTGGCTTCTGTTCTAGCTTCTCCTAGAGCAGGAATATCTAGAGTGAGATACTCCAGAGTAGCAAGTCGATACACTATTTTATTCCGGAATAATCTTTCCATGAAGACAAGCCCTCATTTAAAGTAATGTAATAATAATGTTAATAAACAACTGGCAGCTGTGCAGTCCCTCCTCTCAGTCTGGGGCACACTAGCAGTTGAAAGGTGGTAAAGCCTTTTGGCTCTTTGTAATCTCAGATTCAAGTGCTGTCTAACCAGATCTGGGTGAACAACTCTTTACCAGGGCCCAGATGTGGCCCAGATCATTTGATCTGGTCTCTGCTCTGGGCCGTTTCTCTGTGTTTCAGATGTATTTTGCCCAAGGAAGGGATACAAGGGGGAAGAGCTCCCAGCAACTTGTGTGCAAAATGGCTGCTTAGCGCCCTGGATGTAAAATCTGCTTCCTGCAGAAGCAGTCACCAGAGGCTGAGCAACTAATTCAGGAGAGAGCTCATAATATATTTAGAAACAATGCAGAGGGATTAACAAGCCCGAGCTTCCTGCCTTTCCGCTTTGAAAGGGCAAGAGTTCGTATCTGCAAGTCCTCCCTGGAATTTCTGTCGGCTCCAAGTAAACATGCGCTGTGTGACACTGAGCGCCCCAAGAACTGGAAATCACAGCGCACCCTCAGATCCCCTGTTTGCATCCTTGGCAAGCACATGATTGCTGAGCTGGTGCGACAGACAAATTGATGCTTTTGCACCACATGGGCCAACAGTGCAGGACTAAGCAGAACTGGGAAAAGCTTGAGTGAAGCCAAAGGTAGCTGTGAAAACAGCCGACGGGCAGATCTCTGTGGCACAGCAGTGCGGAGATGGAGCCAACTGGATCATCAGGGAAGAAAGAAACATGACACAGTTTCTGCCATGGCCCCTTCTAGAGTCACAGAGTCTACACCACTGGAAATTAGTTGTGTGGCCATTTCTGGCAGTGCAATGCCACTCTAATTCATTTCTGGCTGTTCTACTATTGGCATTCATGGCAAGGATGGCAGGAGAGAGTATAACTCACCTCAGCTGATGAGTATCCCGAGGAGGAATATCTGGACATGTCAAAGTCATCATCACTGCAGGGAAGGACAAGACACAGCAAAGAAGGAAACAGTTAGGGAGACCTGTATTCCCTGGTTAGCCCTATCTTTCTCGTGCCATGACGCTGTCCGTGAGGCACAGAGAAGTTACATCAAGGGAGCCTGAAGAGCAGTTTTCATCTGTGACCCTCAGATCTCTCCATCACATTGCTCTCTATTCACATCTCTTCCTACTTGTTTACACACACATACCAGTTACAGCACATGCCAAAGGGCACAGCAAGGAAGAGTGAGAGCAGCCTGGAAGAGATAATGTATATCGCCTTACTAACACTTTGCATACCTGTCTGTATCCAGGGCTACCAGCGGCTTTTCATCTGGACTCTGGTCTAATGACGAATAGCCCTTATTGGGAACGACGAGCCTGAAATAATTAAATGTTGTATGTTAACCACACAGTGAAGCTCAGTACCACACACAGTCTAGGGGAAAGCTATACAATAGTTAGGCTTTCCCAATTTCACTTCCTTTCAAGCCCTCCTTTATTGGTGAAGGTGTTTCAGTGGGCGCAATTCAGAGGAATTGAGCTGCGTTTCTGGGTAGTTTAGAGCAGTTTCGTAGGTATGAACGCTGGACATACCTTGGGAACACGCTCCTTCCTGGAAGAAAAAATCGTTGGGACACTCTGTGCTTCATTCTAGTGAACCTATTGGACTGGCACTGCTGGTCGTATCAGATTGCTCATTTTTGTGTTGCTTTTTTTTTTCCTAGCAATGAGTACACGGCACTAGCATGAGTCCCTACCCATCACCCGCCAACACAACACTTCTGAGATCTCAGTCCTAAATTTAGCAATATGAGAAATATGAACTGGTGGGTATGGCGTAAGAGCCCAGTCAGACTAGCACTTTTAAAATCCCATTATTTTATAATGACTTTCACTTCATCAGAAGCGTTACAAAGGCTGACGATGACTTTGCACCTTTAACTGTGTGAGGGAGCTTGTGAAGTGGAATACAGGCTTCAGAGCTTCTAGGATAAGGAAAATACACTAATACTATGGTATCTAGTCCACAACACAGTTCTTGTAACCACAAAACTGCACAAAGACTTTAGTTCATATTTAAATATGATCAACCAAACTGAGTGAGCGGGAACCGTAGGAGCGATGAAAATCTCCTCATTCTGTGGGTTAACTCAGGTTTTCTCCCAAATGAAGAACTGGTCTTTAACAACAAACAATGACGCACAATGATGCTTTACTAATTGTTTGGAAAATGTAAATCTAACGATGATAATCCACCTCAGGCATGCTCTAACTGCTCTCCAAGTACCTGAAATGTTTTTCTGCTTCTTCTCAGAAAATTTCAGGAAGCCATTACAATTTTAGTAATACAAAGGCCTGCCAGGCACTGAAGATGGGCAGGCTCAGGGAGAGTGAAACATATCAAATGTTATCACAAAGTAGATATATAGGTTTATGACTAGTTGCATTTTCTTAGGGTGTTTACTGAAATGCAAGATTAAAGAAATTAATTTTAAAACTGACACAGAACTTCCAACCTGCTGCACCAGGGGACTGAAGAAAACAGGATCCACTTGCAAAATTCAATACCCCTTCTTACAGCGCTGGGATGGTTGTTATACTCCTGCAGCATGTAGGAAGGAAGTCAAGAAGCAAAGAGGTCTGGAAGTGAAGCTGTGATCTGGCAGCAGCAGCTTGCCCACATAGATATCAGAAGTACTGACTTCCATTCTTGCTCTCCAGTTTTCAAGTCACTGCTCCATATATACTCATCAAACAAAATACTATCAGAGGATCTAGGAGAAGAACCCTTTGTGGTGCTATTTACTTGATTAAAAAAAAAAAACCAAAAACCACTGCATCTTTTTCTTGACAAATGCCTTTTTTCTTCATAACACAGAATTTCAATTTTTCTGCAACAGACAAAAACTGTGATAATGTCTCTGCCCCTCATCTAAGTCTTTCCCCTGGATACCAATTGTCTGTATTTTCACTTCCCACTGTCCTTGGAACAAAGACAGGTAGCAGCTGTACCTGCTTTCACCCGCAGCTGTCCCAGTATTAGCTTCGTCTTGGTGTTTTTGCTCACTTAACATGAAGCATGTTATGACACAAATCTGCGTTTACGTTGTCCTCAGAGTGGATCTGTCTGTGCCCACGTGGTGCAGATGGTGTTGTGGGCTCTGCCTGTGCTTGTAGCAAGTGTGCCAGCATCACACCAACCTTGTTCACATTTTATGTGCTCTCAGGGAGACTGAGCGTGTTATGGATCCAGATCCTTTCACCTCTAAGGCTGGCTGTGCCCTTGCCCCACGAGAAGACTGAATGGTGATGGCAACCTGGTACTAGAGGCTAGATGTCAGAAATTCATGCAGATAATACAGAAGAACAGAAGCCCTGGGGAAGGAGGAGGAGGTGGAGTAGAGGCTAGGAGAGGCAATGTGGTTTGCCTGAACAAAGGAAAAGATATTTGATGAGAACAGCACAACGGTTAAAAAGGATGAAATGGCTTTAGTTTATTCTCCTCCAGCAGAGACCAGAGGAAGCCAACAGTTCAGACTTAAACCATAACCCGAACTTTTTGCAGTGTATCCCACTGGAGTATCTCCCATTATAGTGCAACGGTTCTACTGTGAAAAGAAGCTGCTTGAACAAGCTTCTGGCATTTCTGCCTTCCTGGGATTGCCCTGTCAGTGGCAAGAGAGACTGAACCACTCCGAGGTATTACTGGGGCTGTGCTCATGGTGCAGCTCAGTTCCCAGAAAGCCACAGGAGCTGGGGGATGAAGAGACCTGCACTGGTGAGACCCTGTGCCAGACATCTCCCAGCTACATGGGAACTACGGAGCTTGGCTACATCTGCTACTGAAGCAATGGCTGCAAACCTCTCTTTTGCACATCCCAAGGAATGCTTCTACAGGCTGTGTGAAAAGTAACTTAGAAAAGCAGGCTATGCTTGGCTGTGGAGGGGTCCTCTGAACAGTGCTCAGATGTCCACAAATGGAATAAAACTGAGCCGGCTGTTCAAAAGCTTTTGTCAATAGGTGTCACTGCTCTGCTCTTCCCCACTCAAATCACTCTTCTTCCCAATCAGCAGTTCGGACACAACAACCTCTCCAAGCACAAGTCACTAATTTTACAGGTAGGCATCTGTATTTATCCCATCTTCTCTCCCTTACCATCTTCCTCTGCTAATTTCAGTTTTTCTGAATCTCTCAAGCAGCAAATCTGCTACCACTCCTCTTGGGAAGCTAGCATTCAGCCTACTGCCAAAAAACCCAAGTCTTTCTAGCTTGTATTTGGAAGACAAGGAGGAGCAGTGGGCATGAAAACCCAGCTGAGAGCATTTACTGAATTTCTTGCTGCCATGAAGGCCCTGGCTCCCTTCTACGGTCTCAGCAACCAAACACAGAGCAGGGAGCAATGCAGTGTATTCCACCAGCATTGCAGGGGCCTACAAATGAAAACTGACAAAGTCCTGGCATGATTTATGACTACTGTTTTGGGTTTTGGGAATTAATGTGAACAAGGAACCTCATCTGGTCCATGTGTTGCATGGGGTCTGACCTGCAGCTCCTGTTCTACTTAATATATGGTAATCCATGCAACTTTTCCATTCATCAGTAAACACCCAGCATTCATGCAGATTTTTCTGTCATTTTAAGTGAGGTCCTGCACTAAAAACTGCCACCTTTCTGGCAGCACGCAAAGTATGCAATACCTCGGGTTCAGGGGGGTTCCTGCCTCCCGAATGCAGGTAAGTAATACACTGGTGTACTGAAGCTTGCGTGGAAAAAAAAGAAATACTCTAAAAGAAAGTATTCAGCTAGGAACATCTTTTTATAGCAGTTTGTAGCAGTGCCTGGTACTGTCATACAGAGATGTGCCAAAGCAGCTCCAGCAAAGTATGACCGCGCTGTCCAAAGTGCAGAGGAGGTATATAGCAAAGAACACAGAGATGGATTATTTACAAGCCTTCACTAAGGCAACCAGTATGGGGAAGTGGTCATTATCAAAAAGGAGCAGGGGAACTACTGTGATAAAAGCAGCCAGGGCAGAACTAAGCTCTAAACCAGTCTGCATTACATGAAGCAGCATCGTACCTCTCCCACTGGGAGGATTATATGTTACATGAAGCTACCCCGAACACACCAGACAGCTGTATCAAACCCCTGATTTCGACCAGGCTGGGCTGCCTCTGCCCCATGCAGACTGCACTGTCACTGGTCCTGGGCTCAGCTGTCCCTGCATCACAGCACGGCTCATCTGGGCGTGCCAGCTCCAGGAAGGAACATCACTGCTCTTGCAGCGTGTTTGGCAGTAGGCGAATGGCAATGAACATTGTCCTTACCCATCCTACGGCCATTAGGGATTGCAGCTTAGAGCACAGCTGAGTGAGTGCTTTTCCAGTCCTTACCTTGTTCGTGCCATCACATTGTTCTTCTTGGGCTGCTGATTAACTGGGCTTCCCATGTTGCCGTTCTTCAGGGAGCCCTTCCGAGCCAGCTCCCTCTGCTTCTCTGCATATGGGATACAAAGGGGAAAAGCAAAATTAGGGCAACAGCCTAGCTGGCCACCATACAGCTACAGAAACCCAGATTTGATAGCAGCAAAAGGCATAGCAGAATTAATAGCAAAGGACATGAGCTCTCTGTTTCCCAAAGAGGGGCACTGCAAAGGCTGGATGAGCTGTGTCCCATTGCCTCCAAGGTCACCAGAGGCTAAAACTAATGCCCCTTGACTCACAGCAGCTTGTTGACAATGCCACACTAAGGTGGTCGACAACCTTCTGGATGAGACCCAGCTGAGGCAGAGAAAGGGCAGAGACCTTGTCTCTATCTGAACCTGGCTGCTGCACGGACCCTAAGACTGTGCTTTGTGCCGGGCAAGGGAATTTACCCTTCTACCTTTTCCTCTCCCCCTCTGAGGCTGCTGCCGAGGGGCCCACTGGGGATCAAAAAGCATCTCCATTAAAGCAGCATCATCATTTAGTGTTAGTGCAGCTTAGCTTGATACCAGGCCTGAGTTATTACTGTTCCCCTAGACAGCAGCTCACCACACTAACACACCCTACAGCAGAAAGTGTTTCTGCCTTCCCTGCTTCTCCTCCTGGCAGTCGGTGATGAACACATTAATTCTTGGGAGCTTGCTTTCTTTATTTAAAAAGTGAAACATTTTGCAGCTGTATTTTTAAACAGCAAATTGTTTGCTTAAATTTTCAGTGCGTTCTACTCGCTGCTGAAATGTACCTTAGAACACCGACAGTATGTCAAGCTTTCTTTATGTATTCAGTGCAAGAGGGGATTTACACTAGCTTCTCCTTTAAGAGAGACTATTTCTCTTAATAACTTCTCACCACTGGATCACAACTAGAAATCAGGTCCTAAAGCTCAGCCTTCTGCAGGTATGCAATGTCTGTGCTGTATTAATACAGCTCTACCTCCAGCAGGGATAGGAGGCTATCGATGATGGGTTTTCATGTAACTGATACTCAGTTTCCTGATTCAAAGTCCTTGTTTGTTTCTTTAAGGAAATCAGTTGGGTTGAGTTAGCCATTAGCCGCAAAAGTTGAGCTGACTGCCCCAACCTCAACCCACAACACCAGGCACGGCTTACAGGGAAAAGTTCACTGTGGGGCCAGTAAGGGAGGAAACGGACCAGATAAAAACGTTCTCCAGAATGTGAGAAAATGTTGGGAAGTATTTTGATGGCATGCCTGAGTAATAGGAGTTTACCAGACTGCTTGCTGAGGAACCTGAATAGCGAATTTGTTTTGCTTCTGCTTCCCCTGTGGTGTGTGAAATGTGCCGATATACTTTTTTCTCTTGCAGATTTCATTCCCCTTGGAGAGAAAAGCATCTTTTCCCACTTGTCGTGGAAAAGCAGCATACTGACTCAGGCTGTGCAAGTGCAAAGTGGGCCAACTCTGTCCCTTCCACACAGGTGTGAGCAGTCCTGTGTTAGCACACATGTCCAAGGCTGCCTTTCTTCAGAGACAAGTAAGCAGCAGAGATGCCTAGAGATCATGATGATGAGCGCGGATGAGGAACCTGCAGAGAGGAGTATATACTGCTACAAACCATGCCCAGCCCTGCTCCTGCTGACAAGAAACGCTCATTGAAATTGGCAGGAAAAGGATCAGGTAAGTAACTCTCTCTGGCATGAGCAACAAAAAGACTGATACAGCATCCAAGTCAAAACCTTCAGTCAGAGTAATTTCTCAGGACTGGAACTTGCAAATGCATTAGTTAGCTCTGTCTCCAGAATAAAAGGCTGGTATTTTGCAGGCCATGTGAATTTTGCTATTCAGACACCGAAGGATAAAGTGGGGTTTTATGAAGGCAAATGTTTACAAGCTTAAACATGACCAAACTTCCACCCATCTATACCAGAAGCTCCAGCACTGACCACTAATACACAGCGCTGAGACAAGCTGCCAATGCTGTAAGAGGCTGTATAATTCACAAAAGGCACCTGACTCAGAAAGAAGGTCAGAGGTTTCATTTTCTGTCAAGGTAGTTAAGGCCTGCCTGAGCCTTTTAAATGGACCGGCACTCTCTGCTTTCTTTCGATTGCTCTGTACAAGCACCAACGCTCTTCTCCAACTCTGGTAACTCGTTCGGCTGATGAATCTGGACTTACACTGTCTTCTTCCTCCAGCAGGTCTCTCTGTGACTATTTCTGTGCTATTACTGAGTCCTAGTGCAACGTATGGGTCTGAATGACACAAGATCTCCTATTTCACCCCTTCTTTCACTTCTTTAGTGGCTTGGAGTGAACGATCCCAACTCAATGTAAGTGCAGCAGGAACATCCATGCCTGTGACCCCAGCCATATTTCTTAAGCGTGAACCAACAGTTCATCTCCCTCTTGGATACTATGAATCCTGAGTCCCTGGTGGCCAAAATGCAATGGCTTCCTGGGGGAACAGGAGGTCTACTCAGCCTTGGTGTGTTAGGACAAGCTTCTGGAAGGTGGTGGAGATGTGCATGAGTCACATCAGGCTTTGAGGCAAGGAAACTTAGTATTTGAGCCTTACTAGTACTACGAACTACTGCTAATTCCACCATCACCCTAGCGAGCTTTTGGAACTTTGCAATCTCTTGAAGCAATTCTGGGCTATAAATTAAAGCCTCGCACACCAACCATCAGGTCCATCAGAATGGGGTAAGGAGGTTTGCAATGCCCGTTTTCTGCATGATGCTTCCTCCTGGTGTAGCAGGTGGAGTTTGTGAACCCTACTTCTAGGTAGTGAGCTCTTTCGCTGCCTTCCAGCTCACCTGCTTTTCACCCTCAGATGTTTGTCTGACAGCCAGGTTCCCGAGCTCTAAGTACTGGAGCTCTTTTTAGAAATGTGACTGATTTAGGCACTTCTGAAGATGTTACTTTCAGGGTCCAACATTTTAACAAATCCCTGTAATTTCACAAATTAAAGTAGTTCTCACAGCAGCCATGATCAGACACATAACCAGCACAGTAAAGACAAGGTGAGAGGAGGAACCACAGCCTAGCCCTGATAAGTATTTTTCTTTAAAGTCTGCCTGATGCTATACCTACATGAGCATGAATCCTAAAAACACAAGCCTCCACCAACCCAGCTGGGCTAACCTTTGTGTGAAACCTGGAAACTATGCATCTGGACAATTCTCAGCGAATGAAAAGCTAAGATGCTCTTTTCTTATTTCTTCTCTGGCATGGTAGTCAAGTATTGCCCACTGGACTTAGATGAGACCTGTGTTCTCACGTCTCCCCCAGCATCAAGGCTGCTGCGTAGCTTGAGACATTAAGGGCACAGTCCCACCAGAAGCGATAGGCATAGCCTGTCCCCAGCACGTGGTGGTTTCTGGTGTTGGCTATGCAAAGGGTTTCCATGTCCATAACTGTCTGCGCTGCCTGCAGCATTCCAGTACATTCAGTGAACTTCCAGGAAGGCAATGCAGCTTCATGGAAAATCAATGCTGACCCTACAAAACTGCTTAACTCTGGGCAACTCTTGGGCACCAGAAGAATGAGGAACGGTTAACAGGCACTCTGGCCACATACAGAGAAAGTGGGACATAAAAGAACAAGTTAAAAAAACAGAAGACTGATTTCCAGCCACTAGTTATTTTGCGTCTGGTGAGTTTGCTGTTGGATGATCAATGAAAAGCTAATACAGCAGAAATACGAGGTGAAGGACAGAGACTTAGAGATGGGGAAGCCAGAATGAAACAAGGCTGCTCTCCAGCTGCTTCAGAGAAATCACCAACTACCGGCAGCAAAAGAGCTATATAACAGCAGAGCTCCAATGATGCTCTTTACATGGCATTTGCAAGTATTTGAAATGAGTTGTTTAGCTTTCATTTTACTTGGCTGTTCTACTTTTTACCGCTGTACCTAGTGAAATACTCACACCCATGAAATGGTTACGGGTGAGTGAGTACACTGGGAGTACAGGTATGACGGCTTGCAGAGTCAACAGGCAATCACTAGCAATACCAGCAGG